CATATTTTAAATATGAGTAACTTCCTGCCTGTTGGTTCTGTATCGCATGATCAGCCCCGACTAGCCCATACTCCATAGCGTAGAGTGCTTAACACCCGTTTACGCATAAGAGCACAGGCGTCGCCGAGGAGCACTGGCGCTCATGCACGTGTAGGAGTGAGATCGAGAACAGGGTTGTTTCTGGTAACGCAAGTGAGAACGTGGCTGGTCGGCGAGTTGATGAAGAATATCTTAAATATATTGTAAACATTAAGTTCTCTTTTAGAGATGTGTTTATATTTAATATAAACTGCCCCGAGCCGTTAGTTTGTTGGTTGAACCCCCAGCCTCGGCTAGCCCGTAAACCATAACACGGAGCGCTGGAGCTCGTGTACATGTAGGAAGACAAGCATAACTGAGGAGCCACTGTTGACCACCCATAACGTAGAGGGCAAGCTCTCGTGCACGTGTAGGAAGAAGCCAGAGATAGGGCCGTCTCTGGAGAGCACAAGCATAAATGTGGCTGTTCGGGGATTCGTTGAGGCGAAAGCGTATGTCATCTTTAAGATGGTATACATGAAGAAAAGTTGTTTACAGAATAATCATGTAGAGAATAGTATAAAGAAACATCATGGCGAAAACTTTATTAAATATTCATATATAAAAGGTACTTATATAACGTCTGGTCGATGGCGATGAAATTGTCTGGCCCTCAACCTTTTTGGCCTATTGTCATGGCGGCGGTCGCGGTCGTTATAATGCCGTTCTTCGCAGCGATCATTGCGACACGACAGGCGATCGAAACGAGTAGTCCTGTCGGCTCGCTTAGCGGCTCGGACGGTTTGTTTGACAGCTCGGACGGGTACACGGAGTCATAGGCGAACGAACGTAATCGGAGCCTGACGAAGTTAATCCGCATGGGGAGGCGAAGTCCTTGAGCGTGTCCGACCAAGGCGAGGGCACAGTCCAAGATCTTCCTTGCATGCCTGAGATACGTGAGGTTGCCTGCATGGTGGTGTAGATCCATATGCATATATGCTTGTATATCTCTTCAACTACTCCAATTAGCTTGTATGGCCGACCAGCATCTTTGGTGGAAACACTGCTCCACGTCGCGTTATCGCCGGTCCGCCTTTCCTGATTGCTGGTTATCGTGATCCACGGAAACGATCTTGCGTATTCGATCAGAAATCACGAGCAACAACAAGATGTGATTAGCTTTCTTAGATTGCTTGACTCCGATCTTGTTGTCGTGTGTTGCGTCTGTTGGAGGCGCATGACAAGGCGTCGGACTCTAGCACGTGCGGCCGTTTGTCGAGGAAAGTGATCCGCTGCATGCCAACATCGAGTTGTCGCCGAATGCTGAGTTGCCGCGACGTTGGTTGAAGAAAAGATTTCCATATGGTTCGCCACAGAATCAGCACGCACATCCCCTACCTGGTGCGCCACTGTCGATGAAATCTAATCGGCAATCTACCGAGGGGTATACCCACGGTAGTAGATGATTGGTGGAGATGCGCGTAATAGGAACCATATGGTAAAAGAGACACAAGACACAAGATTTATACAGGTTCAGGCCGTCAACTTGACATGACACCCTACATCCCGTGCTCTGTTATTTTGTATTGATTGTGTATTAGATTTGATATATCCTCTAGGGACCCCTGTCTCTCCTTATATACTCTGGAATGATAGGGTTACAAGGAAAATATCCTATTTGGTATTATACAATAAATCACATCTTCATGTAGTCTTGCGGCACACGCCTTGATCTTGTGGGCTGGACCACCTTTGGGGCGTGACCCATGTCTTATCTTGTGGGTACCGGGGGCCATACCCCCACACTCATAGTCCGCCATTCCGGGCCACCCTTTGCCATGGGAGTTGAGGTCGAACGCCACCATGCCCACCCGGGGAGCATTGACGCTGCTCGAGCCGGAAAGGGATATGCCGCGTCGTTGAAGATGGCGTAGTCACCGGCGGGGTAATACGGATCAGGCTGTGACAGGAAGTCCCTGGTGCGGTCGCCATTGCCGTAACCGTCGCCGTCGCCGTTGAAGCCGTCCATCTACGATGCGCAGATCTAGATCTAGCGGCCGGGGAGGACGAGCTAGATCTGGGGGCCGACGAGGAGGAGCTGGATCTGGTCGGCCACGGAGGCTGAGAGCGAGAGCAAGAGCGGCGGGCGGAGCTAGGGTTTGCGCGGAGGGAGAGAGCGAGAGCGGTGGGGAGTGAGTGCGGGGGAATGGATAGAACCCGAGCTGGGGTGGGTGGGTGCGGGGTAGTGGGCATCCGGTTCGTCCCCCCCCCCCCGCGTTTTTGCCCAATTTTGGGCCTCTTGGCTCCCAAATGCCAAAAGTTTTGCAGCCCAAGTTTTGCTGTTTTTTTATCCATGGTGTTTAGATCCATTTTGCCGAAAGATGATACAAAACAGTAAAAGTTTTGGGAAAAGTGGGAAATTAAACAGGCCCTATGTATAGGCTTATTTGTGTGCCCCATCTTTTGATCGTACATACGCCATCCTAAAAAAGTCATTCTCATTTTCTAAAAAGTCAACAACTTTTAACTTTGACCAAATATATTTAATAAAATATTAATGTTTATGTTACATAATTAGTATTATTAGGTAGATCGTTGAATATACTTTTATAATAAACTTATTTGAAGATATAAATATTATATATATTTTCTACAAATCTAGTTAAAGTTGATAAAGTCCGACCAGCACGATTTTCATATCGACTCTTTTTTTTTTACAAAGGGAGTAGTTTCGAACGTACAGAGAGTGACCTTTCCGGTTTGCTGCTTTTTTTCCTCAAGGTACGGGATCCGCGTGGTACTTTGTACATGCATCCCATCATACACACGTACTATAGGAGAACAAACCGTATTAGAAGTTTTCTAACAACCTGCTTTAAAACATTGTTTGATGGATTCCACCAATAAAATCCTATCCATAAGAAAAAAAAGTTGTTTACATAACCTCACATCTACAGTAGCAGACCTTGAATTTTACCAAAGGATATATGTCATCCTAAAATTTTTACATGTAATTCGTTAAAATCCATTTACCAATTCGAAATATTATTGAAAAGTTTGCATCACAATTTAGTATAAAAGGACCAAATGAAGTGATACAATATATACTACTAGTTGTCTAGTATACGCTTTCTAAAAGACATAGGGTCTACTTGGTTAGCTTCCAAAATTTACCAAAGCCAATGATTTGGCAATCAAAAGTTGCCAAAAGTCGAGTAAAAATATTTGCCACAGATTTGATAAGCTAAATGTGATGTATTGGCAATTTTTGGTAACTAGCTATATAGAGACAAAATTTTTGGCTTGCCCAAGTTTTGGCAACTTGAATTTGGCTACCAACCAATCAGGCCCATAAAAGTCTTGACTATATCATATTTATCAACTTTCAAGAAACTATTATGCTCAAATGAATATAACTGGACAATTGTACAAAAGACTCTCATCTTACCTATTAACTTTGTCGTTATCGCTAAAGCCATTTCAAAAAAAAAAAAACTTTCAATACTTACCGTCGTCACTCGTCACATAGACAAGCAATACCAATTTGAGAAATAAGAAAAGTATATCCTACACTTTAGAGTTACTACTTATAAAGGGTGATCCGGAGGGCAGGGAACACTAGTTATGCTGAAGAAAAAGAAATAAACATGCACGAGCGATCCTTGATCCACTTCCATCACGAAAGCGACAAATTAGGGGTACCTTTTGATTAAGGGGTGATGTTCCGGTGTTTTGAACAACGTCGCTACACCCCAATTTCGTGATTATTCTTACACCACTTCTTAAGTCTTACTCTGTATACATGTCATTTTCTGATTATATTCGGTGGCAATGAGTTTTTCCATGGCACCACTCTCTATCACATGTCCTCCCATGTCAAGTGATGGTATCTGCATGCATGTCCCAACTCCCAAGGTAAAAGATTGTTGAGTCATCATCCCATGACAAACCTTATCCATTGCCACCTTCAACTTGTTCCCTATAAGCCTTATAGGCCATGAAAAACGTACCCTAATTAAACCCCCTTCTCCAAACTCTAACCATATGCCCTCTTCGAAATGGAGTCTTACCCACGGCTTATAGATCTATTATACAAGTTTGAATCACACACACTTACACAATCCAGGTTCTGTCCCCACTTATAATTCAATAATAAGCTATTCTGAATGAACTAGTAGCTTATTTGAACTTTTTTTTTCTCCTGCACCTATAAGCTGTATAAAGTTTGGGTATTTTTGGAGCAGACATGTTCGACTGTTGGGTAATGCTGAAAACTGTCCTAGGTAGTTCTGGCAACAGAAACGCAGTTCGCAGGCTGATCGAAGCCACAGCGGCATCGATCTGTATCTACAGCTGCAGCGAACTGTCGGAAAATCTAACTATTCGCTAGTTGTTTCAGTCACAGGATTATCATCCAGTCAACAGTGTTTTTCTCTCACAACAAACCAATATCAGTCGAACTTATCAATCCTAGAAACAAAGCCCAAAACTTGTTCCGTAATAACCATGCTCAATAAAACTAAAGTTAATTAAGTATGTGCAACCGGCCAGGCAATAAAACTAGTGCAACCGACCAGGCGACTTGCGCCACACCTTTTTCCCCCCACTTTATTACACGCACGTATAGGCACAGGGACACGTGGACCACCGTCCCCGCCCCGCCCGGCTCCCCGGCTCCGCCGGCGACCTCACACCTGGGTGCTGGGGGCCCCCTCCCATCTGACGATCTGATCTCCTCCCTCTCCCTCGTCCCTCCATCCCCATCTCCTCTCGTTCGTTCTCGCATCCGTATTTATAAAAGGGGCCCTTGTCCTCGTTCCGGCGGCTTGAGCTTTGCCGCTCGGTCGATCTCCTGCGCTGGCTGCCACAGCGCCGCGGACGAACGAATCTCTTTCTCCTCTCTCCGGCCTTCCAAGGTTATATTATATCGTCATCCATTCCAGTCTACACGAGCTAGGACGCCGGCGTCCCCGCCCGTGTCGATGGCCGGCAGGCCCGGCACCACCGTGTGCTCCATGTGCGGCGACGTCGGGTTCGCCGACAAACTCTTCCGCTGCACCCGCTGCCGCCGCCGCTTCCAGCACTCGTACGTACACCCTTCGTCGAGTAATTAATAAGCTGCTACTACTTCCGGTATCATATCAGACTAACCATGGTCGCCACCGTTTCGTGCCTTCCAATGCATGCGTATGTGAGCAGCTACTGCACCAACTACTACGGCGACGCGGCCCCGGCCCAGGCGGGCGCCGGCGTGTGCGACTGGTGCCTCAGCGATGACGTCGGCGGCGGCGGGAAGAAGCGGCAGCACTCTTCGGCGGCAGGATGCGGAAAGCAGCAGCCGCAAGTGGAAGAAGAAGAAGGAGGCCGGAGCGCGCAGCAGCCGGCGTCGTTCCCTCCCAGCGGGTGCAGCAAGGGCGCCGGCAAGGTCACCGGCGGCAGTGAGCACGTCGAGGGCGGACGGAGGCCCCGCAGGTACAAGCTCCTCAAGGACGTCCTGTGCTAGCGAGCCGGCCGGCTAGCTAGCTATCAGCTAGGTGCTCGTACGTCGTTGTACTTTGTACAAAACAATAACAATGCTTGCTAATTAGTAGTAGACAGCAGGTAAAACTAGATTATTACGTGTACTAGTAGCTAGTAGCTAGTTGGTTTAATTAGTTCCATCTTTTTAATTATCATCCTCGAGTCCTTGTACTAGGGAGAGTGTTATTTGCGTGTTGTGAAGGGACACACTTTGGCTATTATTATGCATGCACATGCGTGTGCATAAGCTAGCTGCTGCCCTTGTCGAGCAGAGACTTTTCTTGTGATCACATGCGTGTACGTTGTGTTTGAGTGCGAGTCGAATTTCTTAGCTAGACGTATCACGTCGCCGAATGCATGCGCTTGATCTTGCGTATCAACGACTCATGGTCGTCAGCCGGCGGGCGTACGTCACTTGCTACAGTCAGATCAATAATCTTTTGACTAGACTGTCGATGTGATACGGCGACGATTAGCTTAGGCCCTAAACAATAATCGAACCTCTAGGAGTCTCGCAGCATGCACGGCTGGAATAGAATGCAACCAAAGATTCTTTTATTCAGAAACAAGAAGAAATATAATGCGAGTACGTATTCTTGCCAACCACACTGTTTCTGGATGGCTTTCTGTACGTGGTACGCTTAGTCTCCAGCCAGCCGATGAGGGCTCTGGAAGGTGGTCGATGTAGTTTGCATGCTACTACTCCTGCGGCCAGGCCAGCTTGTTGGCGGCGGAGGCGGACGGCTGGAATCGGGAATCGGCATGCAGTTCGTACCACACATCTAGCGACTCGAGAGAAGTGAACGAAGTGGCCGACACAGCCCATGCCGAAGCATGCCTGAAACTGAAAGCCCCGCCACTCCTGCACCGCGATCGGGCTGCAGATCTTTGTGGGGGCGCGCAATGATCCACCCATGAACGCGGCGTTTCCCTTGTCCATCTGTCACCCCAACCCTGTATGGTCAACAGTGTCATGATAGTGATCTGGGCCGGCTGTCCTTGCACTGTTGCATGCATGGCCACGGCACTGATCCGGCTCAGAGTAAACGAACAGTTTGTAAACTCTTGAGAAGGAGAGGTACGTTGGGCAAGTTTGCTATACCTAGGAGGTCATGCATGGTTGGAGTCCAAGGGTGTTGACTTTTACATACTGGGCGTTTGATTGATGGGACTAGGGTAAAGATCGGATATGTGCCCGAATATCCCACGCACTAGGAAATGAACTTTGACACTAGTTTGATAAGTCTCATGATTCACGTATCTTATGCTATAATTAACTCGTTTTGTTAAAGTCTGTGCGCATGCATGATGAGATCCGAACAGGAACAGGCCCCGCCCTGTCGAAGTTTACAATTTTTTAAGTTCAAGGGTGGCTCCCGGCCTTTATATTGCAAAGATCAAACCATTTAGCACCTTACAAAATCTCAGAGTTCAGAACTCCACCAGAACACAGAAAGCCTCAACAGGCAAAACAAAACGCACAGTACAGCAGGTGTAACTACTGGCAACAAAACACTACATTCGTCGAAGTTTACAATAAGACTTGGGAATAGAATAGGTGCTTGATACTCTGTTCGGATTAACGGCAGGAACAGAGGCTGATGATACATGCATCCAGCGTCCAGCCACACACATTGACATATTCATGCACCAGAAAGCATCTGGTCACCATACCGCACCATCATACCATGCATGTTTACAAATATATTAATTATTAAAGATCCAGTGTCTTTTGCAGATTTAATTAATAACTTCAATCTTTCGGATGTACTTTTGCAGTTTATTAGCAGCTTAATACGGCGGGGCCAGCCGGATTTAGGCTTGCACGCACTACACCACGACCTTAAAACAGCGACCTGACTTGGAGTTGCTGAAAAAGATGTACAGCAATGGACAGTCAGTTGTTAAATCTTATAGCGACGGACCCTACTATTGCTAACAAAGACGTCGTTATATGTAAACAACGACGGACATGATCTTTAGCAACCGACAGTTTGATGGTCCTACTTTTAGCGACCGACGCATGCGTGCAAAGCTAGGAATGTGAGCACAATAGTCTACGGTACGGATGGCCATCTGCATCTCGTCCGGCGGCGTGGTACGTATGTGTCACGCCCCTTGGCCGCTGACGATCGCTGGGACGTGAGGAGATCGAACCACATCGCGGGCAATAACGAGCGGAGGAAAGATTCCTCGAGCTCGGTTCTGTATTATCAGATTGTGAATAGTCTTTCCCCTCTTACAAGCCAGGATTTTAATACATAGAGTTCTGACCCGTGGGTCCTACTTGACATAGAAAGCAAAATGCAAATAAACGCTACTTAACGCCGTCTCTTCTTGCCATCTCACTCTGTTGACGCCGTGGTCCTGACATCTCCCCCCGTCGAAGAACCTGCTTGACCCCAAGCAGCAGCGTCAGGGAACTTCGCACGCAGCACATTGTAGTCTTCCCAGGTGGCCGAGGCTTCCGTGATGCCGGTCCACTTGATGAGTACTTGAGGAATAGTTGTATTGCCTTTCTTCACTAGGCGACGATCAAGCAGTTGCTCTGGTGTTGTTTCTACTGCCTGAATGTCAGTTGTTGCCAGCAAATCAGAGTAGACTGGTGTGTAATCTGCAAGGAAAGGCTTAAGTTGGGAAACATGAAAGACATTGTGTATATTACTATCATTTGGTAACTCCAGTCGGTAAGCCACTTCGCCCACTTTCTCTAGAACCTTATATGGATCAAAGTACTTGAATGAGAGCTTGGGAAATGGCCTGTTGGCTACTGAAGACTGTGTGTATGGTTGCAATTTCAGTAGGACCATGTCTCCCACTTGAAACTGAAGATTGGAGCGTTTCTGATCTGCCATGACTTTCATTCTGTTTTGAGCAGCGGCAAGATGTTGTTTCAAGGATTGGAGATGAAGCTCTCTGTGCTCAACCAAGTCAGCCACTATACTTGGTGTAGTTGCTTCTAAGACAGGTGGGGCTCCTATCTTGGCTTCCACTCCATACAGAGCCTTGAAGGGAGAATAACCAAGAGATGTATGGTATGAGGAGTTGTACCATAATACAGCCAATGATATCCAGGATTTCCATGTTTTTGGAGCATCTTGGAGTGCACATCTGAGGTACATTTCCAGACACTGGTTCACCCTCTCAGTTTGCCCATCTGACGGTGGATGGTATGCTGTACTCATGGCAAGTTTGACCTTGTAGAGTTTGAACAACTGCTTCTGAAAGCATCTAGGCCCCTAGTTGGGTTTCGGTGATTAATGACGACACGAGATTACTATGACTAACATGTGTTTTGCAGAGGCAATTTGAGTTAGGTCATGATAATGACAATTGATTAGGCAATCATGGTTGTCATGCTTCTGTCGATGGAAATCGTTTCGGTTTTCAAAGGATGGACGACAAGGTTAAGGACAGACTAGTTCTAAGTGTCGTTTGGTGATGGAGAGACACTTCGAGTAGTTTAGGACTTTATTTTTCTTTTGGCCGTACTATTAAGGGGGGTATGAACTAGTAGCTTGACCTAGGTAAGTCTAGTGGGTTAGGTGTGGTGCACACTTGTCAAACCTAGCACTAGGTAGCTTAGAAATAGCCCTAAGATCAATTGGAGTAAACTTCATTCACATAGGATTTCGAGTTAGAAGTGAATGGAGGGTCAAATGACTGACCAGACACTGGTCTGGTTGCGACCGGACGCTGGAGGGTGAGTCTGGTCAGTTCATTTGATCAACTACAGTCATCTAGTACTGACCGAATGCTGAGTGAAGGTGGATCGGACGCTGGGGTACTATGTCCGGTCAACTCCAGAGAGGTTCTAGAGAGACTGTTTCCTAACCGGACGCGTCCGGTTGATGCTGACCGGACGCTGGTCAGGATGCAATAACTGATCGGACGCTGAACAGTGAAGTGACCGGACTCTGGGTGCCAGCATCCGGTCAACATCAGTAAGGTTCCAGAGAGCGTTTTTCTTGACCGAACGTGACCGGACGCTGGTCAGAGTCCGGTCAGAACTTAACGGCTTTTTCTGACATAGTGGCAGGTATAACTGACCGGAGCATCCGATCACACTGATCGGAGCGTCCAGTCACCCCGCAGATCGCTGACTCAGCCTCCAAACGTTATGTTTTGAATGAGAGGGTAAAAATACTTACTCCACTCGTCCAAGGGAGGTCTCTTGCCCATTTGTTCAGCTGAGAAACACCTTTAGAGTGTAAAGGAGAGCAAGAGCCTAGTGAGGTGATTGAGATTTGAGAATCCAAGATTAAGGTCCTCATTAGTGCAAGGAGAGTAGCAAGTGTACATCCACCCTTCTCATTAGGCTTGTCGTGGTCAAGTGAGAGTATGTGCTTGTTAGTCTTGGTGATCGCCATCACCTAGATGGCTCGGTGGTGATTGGGAGTTTGGTGATCATCCGGCGGAGCTTGTGGATGACCTAACTCAAGTTGTGAGCGGTTGTGGGCGATTCACCGCAACGGAGTGTTGAAGAATCAGCCCATAGAGAGCACTTGATCCTTACGTGGATCAAGGGGGCGATACACCCTTGCGCGGGTGCTCCAACGAGGACTAGTGGGGAGTCGCGACTCTCCGATACCTTGGGAAAACATTGCCACGTTCCTTTCCCTCTCTTTACTTTGAGCATTTAAATTTGTGCAATTCATTTCATGTCTTTATACTCCTAGAATTACCATGCTAGAGTAGGATTGGAACCTAGGGTGCAAAATTTTTGTGCGATAGAATAATAGAAACACATTCTAGGCACAAGTGGTGAAGTGGGCTAAGTATAGGGCTCAATTATTGCAAAGAATTTAGAATTAGCCCAATTCACCCCCCCTCTCTGGATATCTTAATCTTTTCAATTGGTATCAGAGCCTAATGCTCGCTAAATTAGGCTTAACCGCCTAGAGCAAGATGTCCCAAGGGGATGGACCTCCTCCTATCTTTGAGGGAGATGATTTTCCTTATTAGAAAATTCGCATGGAGGCT